CCTACCCCCTCTGTGAATCCTTCTCAGACCATTCCAGCCCTCAGGGACCTATCTCCTTGGAATTCCTCCCACATTGACTGCACCACTCCATCACTGAGCACTTGCTGCTTTGTGTTGTCTCAGACATATTCTCATGTGTAAGCCTCGTTCCCTACAGGTACATTATAAACTCAAGAACACAAGAACTCTCCTTTATAGTTCTTTATCCTTTCCTACACACATCTTCTTCTGCTGCATAGAGTCATTGCTCAACTGGGCTATGCTTTCCCTAGTGGTAGCACTGAGGATTCTGGATTGGAATTTTCCAGATGCATATCTGTCTCCCCTCACAAACCTATAATTATGAGAGCAAGAACTCTGCCCCATTCCCCAGTGGAGTGCACAGTGCTTGGCACACAGTTGGTATTTAATTAAATGTTGATTGAATGAGTGAATATTGTTTCCCCATTGGGCAGAGCTGCTGGCCCGAGGATGACGAGGCCATTGCCCCCACGTTTGCAGTAACTCCCAGCTGCCTGTCCTCCAGACAGCTTTGCCTGCGCATGCTTACCGCAGTGTGTCCATCCTCGTCATACTGCCGCAGCTGCCCCAGGAACTCCAGGTGCTTCTTTTCCTCCTCCAGCTGAGCCACAGCCTGTTCACTGCGCTGTAGCCGCTGCTGGGTGCCCGCCAGCTCGTCCCGGAGCCACTGGTTCTCCTGGCACAGCCGTCGCACCTGAGCCCGAAGCTTCTGTTTCTCTGACTCCACTGTGCTCAGGTGGCTGGCTAGAGCCAGCATTACCTAGGTGGGCACATCCCATGAACTCCAGACTCTGGATGGGAGTGTTCAAGGATAGGAAGGAAGGGAGCCTGCTAGGAGGTGGCAAGACTAATAGGGGCAGAGAGGAGCCAGGAGGTGGGGGTAGTAGCAATGGCTCTACCTTCAAAAATATATCTTGAATCCACTCGCTCACCACCTCCATCGCCATCACCCAAAACCAAGCCACTATCGATACCCAACTGGATTACTACCATAGCCTCCTCACTGGCCTCCCTGTTTCTGCTCCTGTTCCCCTAGAGTCTATTCTCAACCCAGCAGCCAGATGACATCAAGTCAGACCATATCACTCATCTTCTCAAAACATTCCAATAATTTCCAACTCACTAAAAGTAAAACCAAAGTCCTCATGATAGCCTACAAGTTTCACATGATCTGTCTCCCTCTCCGCCTTTGCTTCCCCTCATTCACTCTCTGCAGCCTGACTGGCCTCTCGCTGTTCATTGAACTCACCAGGCAGGCCCCAATTCAGGGCCTTTACACTTACTGTTCTCTCCGCTTAAGACACTCTGCCCCTTTTTACTGCATTCCCTCATCTTCAAATGTTTGCCCAAATGTCACCTCTCTCCATACTCCCTAGTCTCCTTCTCTGCTTTTTTTTTGTTTTTTCTCTTTTCTTTTTGGTAGAGATTGGGTCTCACCCTTGCTCAGGCTGGTATTGAATTCCTGAGCTCAAGCAATCCTCTTGTCTCGGCCTCCCATGCCTGGCTTCCTTCTCTGCTTGCTTTCTTTTTCTTTTTTTTTTTTTTTTTTTTGAGACAGAGTCTGACTTTGTTGCCCAGGCTAGAGTGAGTGCCGTGGCATCAGCCTAGCTCACAGCAACCTCAAACTCCTGGGCTTAAGCAATCCTCCTGCCTCAGCCTCCCGAGTAGCTGGGACTACAGGCATGTGCCACTATGCCCAGCTAATTTTCTCCATATATATTAGTTGGCCAATTAATTTCTTTCTATTTATAGTAGAGACGGGGTCTCGCTCTTGCTCAGGGTGGTTTCAAAACCCCTGACCTTGAGCAATCCGCCTACCTTGGCCTCCCAGAGTGCTAGGATTTTTCTCTTTCTTTATTTTTGAGACAAGGTCTCATTCTGTCACCCAGGCTGCTGGTGTGCAGTGGTGCCATAATAGCTCACAGCAATCTCAAACTCCCAGGCTCAAGCGATCCTCCTGCCTCAGCCTTTTGAGTAGCTGAGACTATAGGCGTGCACCATCACGCCCGGCTAATTTTTATTTTTTTTAGGAACAAGGTCTCACTATGCTGCCCAGTCTGGTCTCAAACTCCTGGCCGCAAGCAATCTTCCTGCCTGGACCTCCCAAAGTGTTAAAATAACAAGCGTGAGCCACCACACCTGCCCTATTTTTATTGCTTTATCCTTAGCAATTAGCACTCTGGCATAGTGAATCTTTTACTTATTTACTTGTGTATCATCTGTCTCCCCCAGCTAGAAAGCAAGCTCCAAGATGCAAAGATTTTTACTGCTGTGTTCAGTGATGTGTTTCCAGTGCCCCAAAGAGTTCCTGGCACAGAGTAGTAAATACATATTTACTGAAAGAATGCAAGCGTCCAGGACAAGGTGATCCCAAGTGACTCCAAACATCCAATCAGACAACTGCTCCTCCATCCACCCCAGACCACTTGGCACCACCTCCGCCCTCTCACCTGGGCCTCACTTAGCCCGAGCTCGATGTTTTCCATAGAACGGCGCAGTTGCCGGGCCTTCTCATGTACCAGCCCTTCCTCGTGGCCTCCCTGCTGCAGACACTCAATGGTTTGGGACAGACTTTGCAGCACAGCTTGGTGTTCACTGTGTAGGGCCTCCAGCCCTTGGCTCACGAGCCGAGTGCTCCCTAGGATCTCTTCTTGGCTGAGCCGGTGCCCTGCAGGTTCATCACGCTGCCCCAACACCAGGCCTGACATCCTGGCCAGGGAGAAGTCACCCAGTCTAGGGAGAAATAACAGAGTTCAGCTAGGGTAAAGATGAGACACAGAGGCTGAGCAACTTGATTAGAGGGTGGTATGGATACAAATGAAGGGACAAAAGTATGGGTGACCCTGTGACTTAGCTGGAGAGAGAGAAAGTGATCAGCAGGGAGGGAGCCTACATCACTAAACACAAAGCTAAGATTGTGGGCAAAAAGAGAGGAATATGAATTGACTTAAATAAAGACTATAGAAAGAACAAAGTTGCTTAGAACTAGCAGAGGGATTCAGGACTTAGAAAAGGAGTTGGAGAGAGAGCTTGGGTTAGAAAAGGAATCAAGGGATCATGGAGTGTGGATGGGAGAGCTGCAAAGGGAATAGGGTTAAGTAGACAGGAGATACGCAGAAAATGGTGCAGGGGGTTAGAAAAAAGGGAAGAGACCAGATGCAGTGGCTCATACAATCTAGCACTCTGGGAGGCTGAGGCAGGAGGATCTCTTGAGCTCAGGAGTTTGAGACCAGCCTGAGCAAGAGCGAGACCTATCTCTACTAAAAATAGAAAAATTAGCTGGGTGCAGTAGCGTGAGCCTGTAGTCCCAGCTACTTGGGAGGCTGAGGCAGCAGGATTGCTTTAGCCCAGCAGTTTGAGGTTTCAGGGAGCTGTGTGATGCCACTGCACTCTAGCCTGGGTGACAGAGCAAGACAAAAAAAGAAGAGAGAGAGAGAGAGAGAGAGAGAGAGAGAGAGAGAGAGAGAGAGAAAGAAAGATAGATAGATGTTTCAAAACTAAATCAGAGAAGAAAGGGAAAAGAAAACAGGAGCCTTCGTTTGAGGTATCCAGATGAGAGGGCCTCAGAAGGCACAAGGTCTTCTGGCTGTGTCACCCATGGAACTAAGCCCAGCATCTCCAAACCTGGTTAGCCCTGCCTCTTTTGCTACTAGCCTTCAACCCATACTTTCCAGCCCCCCCAGGATTCAGACTGTCTTCCTATTTCCTCAAAAGGGCCTGTTTCTCATTTTTGAAGTCCTCTTACCTGTGAGCAGAGCCCTTGGCTGAGGCACTCAGGCCGCAGTCCGGAAGAAACTCTGCTCAGCAGCCAGCGACTCAGAAGGCTCTGCCCTGCCCAAAGTCCAGAAGTCCAGCATTCCCACCCCCTCTCTCACCACTTCACAGCCACCCAGAGGACCTGGCACAGAGCCCTACCCAGGACAAACATACTCCCTCACTCCCTCTGCCTACATGTCTTCAAAGACGCCAATGTCCCTTCTCCTTCCCCAAGCCAGCCTCCCACTCCAGGGCTGGGCAGTTTCTTTCTCCCTGTAAGGGAGCAAGAGATTTAATCAGACACCTGCGGCAAGGGGCGTGTCTGGGAATGGGTGAAGAGGAAGACCTGGTCATTCCCAGCCAGTCACTTCCATGGGCTTTGTCTCTGTCACGATCACCTACTAACAGCTTCTGAGAGGAATCACCTTAGGGTGCCTCCCAAATGCCTGATGATGCAGGGAAGAACAGGAGGTCTGCTGAGTGGCTGCGGGGTCACAGGGAAACGTGGCGCCGGGAGCTGGTCTCCTGGACCTGGAAATGCGGTTGAGGAGTGTCTCAGGCTGTCGACCTGCCCTGGGGCCCAGGGTGGGGATAGAGTGAGATGGGTGGGGGGAGGTGCTGTTGGACGACTGAGGTCCGCGTCACGGGGGAGGACCCGGCGGCCAGACAATCCCCAGGTCACCTAGCCAGTCCGGTGCACAGGGGGCGGGGCAGGCCGTCTGTCTGTCTGTCTGGATGCCGAGGGGCGGGGAAGAATCGCGGGGGGGCGGAGTTTTGCAGTCCGGAATTTCGTGAGGTTGGTTGGAGAGAGTTTGTTCATCTGTCTGGGAGTGCGGGAATAAGAGGTGGCGGGGACCTCAATCCTCAGCCCCAGAGGTACCCTCAAAGACTCACCTGCAATCTGTCGGTCTGGCTGCCGATCTTGCCAGTACTGCCCCTTTAAATTCATCATGGCTGCCGCTTGAGGCAATTGTTTTGACGGCTCAGAGGGGCGGAGCCTGTCCCTTAGTCACGCGACCTTAGAGCTGCCCGAGGATTGGCTCTGACCTGGTTTGGGGAGGGAAGGAGGAGGCATCCAGCTTGGTCTCCAGTTCTCTGCCCGCCTCCTTTTACGTTATTGGGAAGAGACGGCGCTGGGGGCAGTTTACGTCATCTGGGAGCGCCGGGTAGACCGGCTAAGGGTAAGGGTGGCGTGCTGAGCCCAGCAAAGCCTGGCTACACCTATGGCCCTGTTGGCAGTGACCCGCGCTCTGGGCTCCCTGAGCCTGGCGCCCTTGGCCATCGCAACGCCTGTCCCGAGTCTGCTCCCCGCCGCCCAGGTAATCCACCTTAAGCAGGAAGAAGGCTGTTTCCGTTTGGGCTGCCGTGGAGGGGGTTGCAAGTCTGGTCATGAGTCTCGAAGATACATTAGCTTGCATATCAGACCAGATACCGCAGGTGAAAGTGCTTTGCAGATCGCCGGTTCAACAGGTTTCAGTAATAACTAACATCGATTGAGTGCCTGTGATAAGCCAGGCATAAGTGATAGATGTTTCAAATAAATGAACTTTCAATCACTCCACAAGGAAGTTATTATCGTTCCCATTTTACAGATGAGAAAACTGATAAGCGGTCCAGGATTACAAACCAACTGTTGGAGCTATGCAGTCTGGCCTCAGGGCCTGTGCTCTTAATCATTATGATATTATACCTAAAAGGATGAGTTATTGCTAAGATTAGAGAATGCAGGGCAAGGTACCAGGAATAGGGGCCTCAGGTGAAGGTATCCTAAGGTCCTTAGTGGGCAACTGGTGAGTCACAGAAAAGAGAAGTTGTAAGTCTTGTCCCTCTGCAGCTCTCTGGTTGATTATGGTAGAGTATGGCAGATGCATATTTAAAATTCAAAACCAGGCCGGGTGCGGCGGCTCACGCCTGTAATCCTAGCTCTCTGGGAGGCCGAGGCGGGCGGATTACTCGAGGTCAGGAGTTCAAAACCAGCCTGAGCGAGAGCGAGACCCCGTCTCTACTATAAATAGAAATAAATTAATTGGCCAACTCATATGTATATAAAAAAAATTAGCCGGGCATGGTGGCGCATGCCTGTAGTCCCAGCTACTCGGGAGGCTGAGGCAGAAGGATCGCTCGAGCCCAGGAGTGTGAGGTTGCTGTGAGCTAGGCTGACGCCACGGCACTCACTCTAGCCTGGACAACAAAGCGAGACTCTGTCTCAAAAAAAAATAAAATAAAATAAAATTCAAAACCAAACCAATCTACTCTGAAATGTTGGGAATCTACTGCAAAGAACAAGACAGAAATGATCCCTACCTTCCATTCATATGTGAAAAAACTCCCAGAAACATAATACAGAGGGCAAAAGGCCATGGGTGCTAGTGGTAGTGCATGGATGTATGGAAGTTACCAGCTCTGGAGAAGGCAGTTGAAGGAAAAGACTCCTGAAGATGGAGAGTTTTCAGCCAAATTTGGAAGGAGATAACCAATGGGATAACATTTCATTGAAGAAATACTTTAAAGGTGAGAAGATCAGATGAGGAGAGGTAATCACATACACATCTGGATAAACATTCTACACTGGTATCCATGCAAGATTTAAAGGGTAGAGTTTTTGAACAACTGGTCTGGGATACTTCCAGGAGGAACTAGGCTACAAGCTAAAGTTGGTCTGTGCCCTCTGGGTTCTCTGATATTTTTCCTTCAACTAGTTTTCAAGTGAAAGAGATTTCTTTTTTTCCCCTAGGTGATGAACAATGCCTTCCTCCGATTGCCTTCTGCCTTGGTGTCACTCCCCTGCCGCCCACTCCTTACTTCTGCAGCTTGTAGTGCCAACTTTGTGTCCTGGAAGAGTCGTACCAAGTACACCATTAAACCAGTGAAGATGAGGAAGTCTGGGGGCCGAGACCACACAGGTGGGAGCAAAGAGATTTTTAGCACATTGACTGCCACACTAGAAAAATTTTTCCATAGGGCTATGGTGTTTTATTACACATAGAATAAAAACTTTGAAAACAAAATGATCTTTCTGATTTAATGAAAAATTTGTTATTTTTAAATGTTTTCTGTGCACGAGTTGTACGCAACTTGAAAAATAATTCTCGCTGCTCCCAAGGTGAAGAGATGTGTGAGTTATACATGCTCCAGGAGGCCTGGGGTCAAAACTAGTGTGAGTTAAATACAACTCACATGGCAGTTAATGTGTTAAGCAGTAAAGGGAGGAAAACATGCTAGTATCCTACACCTGTATATTAACACATTTATACCCTGTAGGGCAGAGGAATGTAATTAAGCATTTATTGGGCTCCTTCTGCATATCATAGTATATGCGTGGAAGCCAGAGACTAGAATACAAAGCAACAGAGAACTGGTCTGTGCCCCTAAATACAATCACACACAGTGGTTCTTGCCTGTAATCCCTGCTACTCCAGAGGCTGAAGTGGAGGATCTCTTGAGGCCAGGAGTTCAAGGCTGCAGTGAGCTATGATTATACAACTGCACTCCAGCGTGGGTGACAGAGTGAGACCTTGTCTCGGAAAAAAAAAAAATAGTTGAAGAAAACTGGCCATACACAGAAAGTGTCATGACATTTTTCTTCACATACTTCAAAAATTTATAGTAGCCAGGCACAGTGGCATGTGCCTGTAGTCCTAGCTGCTTGGGAGGCTGAAGCAGGAAGATCACTTGATCCAGAAGTTTGAGTCCACCCTGGGCATCATAGTGAGACTCTGTGTCTTTAAAAGAAAAAACATTTTTTTTTTTTGGTAACAGTTGAAATTATTGGAGTATGATTAATATAGCTCTCTAAACTTACTGAATTCCATGATTTGAAAAGATTTTACCTGGAAGCTTTATACAATTGACCAAGTTTTGTGTAGGTGTTGCCCTACCTCCCTTTGCTCCAGTACACTGTGCTGGAGCAAATTTTTTTTTTTTTTTTTTTTTTTTTTTGAGACAGTCTCACACTTTGTTGCCCTGGCTAGAGTGCCGTGGTGTCAGCCTAGCTCACAGCAACCTCAAACTCCTGGGCTTAAGCAATCCTTCTGCCTCAGCCTCCCGAGTAGCTGGGACTACAGGCATGTGCCACCATGCCTGGCTAATTTTTTTTTTCTATATATATATTTTTAGTTGGCTAACTAATTTCTTTCTTTTCTTTTCCTTTCTTTCTTTCCTTTTCTCTCTTTTTTTTTTTTTTGAGACAGAGTCTCACTTTGTTGCCCAGGCTAGAGTGAGTGCCGTGGCGTCAGCCTAGCTCACAGCAACCTCAAACTCCTGGGCTCGAGCGATCTTCTGCCTCAGCCTCCCGAGTAGCTGGACTACAGGCATGAGCCACCATGCCGGCTAATTTTTTTTATATATATATATAGTTGCCAATTAATTTCTTTCTATTTATAGTAGAGACGGGGTCTCGCTCTTGCTCAGGCTGGTTTTGAACTCCTGACCTTGAGCAATCCGCCCGCCTCGGCCTCCCAAGAGCTAGGATTACAGGCGTGAGCCACCGCGCCCGGCCTCTCTCTTTTTTTCTCTTTCTTTTTTTCTTTCTTTTTTTTTTCCTTTTTTTTTTTGACAGAGTCTCACTCTGTTGCCCAGGCTAGAGTGCCGTGGTGTCAGCCTAGCTCACAGCAACCTCAAACTCCTGGGCTCAAGCAATCCTCCTGCCTCAGCCTCCTGAGTAGCTGGGACTACAGGCATGCACCACCATGCCTGGCTAATTTTTTCTATATATTTTTAGTTAGCCAATTAATTTCTTTCTATTTTTAGTAGAGACGGGGTCTCACTCTTGCTCTGGCTGGTTTCGAACTCCTGACCTTGAGAGATCCACCCACCTCGGCCTCCCAGAGTGCTAGGGTTACAGGCATGAGCCACTGCGCCCGGCTTAGAGCAAATTTTTATCATTTTCTGCTTGTGCCATAATGCTGAGAAGCACAGCTGAGGATGGGCCAGTTTCCGATGCTGGGAGCTGAACTAGTCTGACCAAGAACATGTCTCCGAACTATCCTGACCACAGGCCGTATCCGAGTGCATGGTATTGGTGGGGGCCACAAGAAACGATATCGCATGATTGACTTTCTTCGTTTCCGGCCTGAACAAGAGACCTCGCCGGGACCCTTTGAGGAGAAGGTTGTCATGGTCCGCTATGATCCCTGTAGGCAAGTTTGGGATGTGGGACGATGATGGGATCTGAATAACTGCTGTGTAGTTTCTTAGAAGATGTGGGACCACCTAGATGGATTGCTTACTTATCCCTCACCCTGAACAGGTCAGCAGACATAGCTCTGGTTGCTGGAGGTAGCCGGAAACGCTGGATCATTGCCACAGAGAACATGCAGGCTGGAGATGTAATCCTCAACTCTAACCACATAGGCAGAATGGCAGGTGAGAGATGACTACCAGATGTGTGGGCTGGAGGCTGCAAAGGTTCTAGTGCTGATGAAATTTTGTCTTTTAGTTGCTGCCCGGGAAGGGGATGCACATCCTCTTGGGGCCCTGCCTGTGGGGACTCTCATCAACAACGTGGAAAGTGAGCCAGGCCGGGGGGCCCAGTATATCCGAGCTGCAGGTATGGGAACAGGAGCTGCCTGGGTCTTAGAGTTTGAAAGGCCAAGGAGTGCCTGAGGTCACAAGTCTCTGAACCCATGGGTCTACATCTGGTGCTGGCACAGAAAAAGACAAGGAACATGAGGATGAAGATGTGCTTGTGTTTTGATCTAAAACATTGCATGCATGCTTCTTTGTTGTATCTGCTCCTAAAGGGCAAGGCAAGAGCAGCATGTTGGCTATGGTCCCTTTATAAATTCCCCTTCTCCCCACCAATGCCTCCTCTCTGTGGAGGGTGGCAAAACTATTTTTCTTCCCCAGGGACTTGTGGTGTGCTGCTTCGGAAGGTAAATGGGACAGCCATTATCCAGCTGCCTTCTAAGAGGCAGATGCAGGTGTGTGTGTGGGTCCTGGTGGGGGAGGGATCAGCAAAGGAGGAATTTTTGGAATGTCCCTTGCCTTCCTGGGATAGCTCCCAGGTGTTTTGTGAAGCTAGGAACTGCCTTGAGCTGGATCTGTCCTTTTCTGCCACATGACTAGGTGTGTCTCGTCAAGTTGGCCCCATAATGGAATAGGGAGGATGACTTTCTTTTTTAACTACCCAGTTTCTACTGTAGGACCCACATTTAGGTTCAACCATGTTGTGCTTTCCCCTTGTCCTCTCCCTTTTCAATGAGTGTTATGAAGTGGTGCCCTCAACATTGTCAGGCTCCCCAACCCCTATCCCCGACTGTGCATTCCCTTCCATTTGCTTTCCCTGTCAGGTGCTGGAAACGTGCATAGCAACAGTCGGCCGAGTATCCAACGTCGATCATAACAAACGGGTCATCGGCAAGGCAGGTCGCAACCGCTGGCTGGGCAAGAGGCCTTCCAGCGGGCTATGGCACCGCAAGGGGGGCTGGGCTGGCAGAAAGATTCGACCACTGCCCCCTATGAAGAGTTATGTGAAGCTGCCCTCCGCTGCTGCCCAAAGCTGATATTTCTGGACTCTAATAAAATGCTCCTCCCATTTTAATCTGTTACTATTTTTTCAGGGGGGTTAAGGATGGTACAGATTAGATGTGGGGAAAAAAAGAGCAGTAAGTATAGGAGGAAGAAAATGGAAAGACCAGGATGAAGCCCCACCCCCAGTTCCTTTACATATAATGGAGGAGGAGGGCACTAAATGACCACCGAGGTCTCTTCTGGTTCGGATTTGGGAAATAGGGAGGCACTTCCGGCGTTAGGAGGAGGACAAAAAGGAAAAGGAAAGGGCGGTGCGGAGGAGGTGCCGCGCGTCGCCGCGGTGGCACCCGTAGCTCCGCCCCTGCGCGCACCCAGGGCCCCTGGCTTTCCGCTGGGTCTGGCGGAAATAAGCCGTGGCTCCGGGGGGTGGCAGAGCCCCTGGAGCTGGGCGTGCGGCGCCGCAGGCACAGACCAGGCTCCGCCCTGCCCCAGCGGCCGCCGACCCCGCACCGGCAGCGACCCTGGCTCGGCCCTGGAGTCCTGAGTCCCCGCGCGCCACGCCCCCTGCCTGCTCGCCCGCCTGCCTGTCCTGCGGAGGCACGCCCCCTCCCGCCTCTTCCGCCTCGACCCCTTCGGGGGGCCTTGGTTGGGCCCAAATCTTCGCCCGCGTCGACGCCTGCGTCTGTCCCGCGTCCCTAGCTCTGCAAAGGACAGGCCTCGCGCCAGGATCCCGGTGGACTTCTGAGGTGGCCAGGGCCCCGCCGCGGCCCCCTGCCCGTACCCTGGGTTCTCAACCGAGCCTCGCGCTCACCCGACCTCGCGTCCCCCTGTCCTGCCGTGCCTCGGGATTCTAGATTATCGGGCCTAGCCCCGCTCACCCACCCTACTGCATGCCGCTAGCTTCTTGGGTCTCCGGTTTCCATCCCCCAAGCATCGCGCCCCTCACCACCGGGTCTCCTGCGCGCCCTGCTCTGCCCTGTGCCCTCCTCCCAGCCCGTTGCTCCCGGGGCTTGCACTCCACCACGAGTGCTCTGGGTCTCTTCCCTCTGCGACTTACACTCCCGTGCTTCAATCCTAGAGATAGCACCCCTTTGCACACTCACTGGGGATCTCTCTCCCAACACCCCCCCACATTCCACTTTGGGCCTCACACACCTCCTTCCCAGGGCTGCTGCCCCATCCCAAGGTCTTGGGATTGACGGTAACTCCAAGGCTGCCTGCTCCCACTGTCCTCCCACTGTTCGAAACTAATCCACTCCAGGCTGCAGAGTCTTGGGGAGACCTTCCTTTTAACCCTCAAATTTTGTATTCTCTCAGAACAAATACCCCACTGTTTGTCTATTTAAGCCTGGCCCCACCCAGCATGCAGCGGGCAACTCCTGGGCCCTGCTTCACCCCACCCACCCTGACAGCTGTTGCCATTTGCTTCCCCAACTCCTGGATGTCCTTGATTTTCTGACCTCCCCTCTCACTGCAGCTTGCCTATTCTTTTCCTGTGTGTTCCAGGTGCCAGGATGGTGGGGGAACTTCGCTACAGGGAATTCAGGGTGCCTCTGGGGCCAGGCTTACATGCGTATCCCGATGAGCTGATCCGACAGCGGGTGGGCCACGATGGGCATCCTGAGTACCAGATTCGCTGGCTCATCCTCCGGCGTGGGGATGATGGGGAAGGGGGCTCCAGCCAAGTAGACTGCAAGGCTGAGCACATCCTGCTATGGATGTCCAATGACGAGATCTATGCCAACTGCCACAAGATGCTGGGCGAAGATGGCCAGGTCGTCGGGCCCTCCCAGGAGTCTGCAGGAGAGGCTGGGGCCCTGGACAAATCTGTGCTGGGGGAGATGGAAACCGATGTGAAGTCTCTGATTCAGAGAGCCCTTCGGCAACTAGAGGAATGTGTGGGCACCATCCCTCCCGCCCCTCTGCTTCATACTGTCCATGTGCTCAGTGCCTATGCCAGCATCGAGCCCCTCACTGGGGTATTCAAAGACCCAAGGGTCCTGGACTTGCTCATGCACATGTTGAGTAGTCCCGATTATCAGATTCGCTGGAGTGCTGGCCGGATGATACAAGCCCTGTCCTCCCATGACGCTGGTGAGGGGCAGAATGGGGAGGAAGGGAAAGCAGGAGAGGGGCTGGGTCGGCTCAGGGACTCACAGGACACTGTGGCAGGAGCCTCTGACCTCATCAGTACGTAAATGATTCTGTTGCCTTTCTCTTAGAGTTGAAAGAAAGGAGATGGGAATGGGGGTGGACATGGGAGGTGGGCATTTCTGCAGGAAGAGGGAAGACTGAATCCTCAAGAACCACATATTAATTAGTTGGCTTTCTATGCAAAGGGAGAGTTTAGCCTGTAGCATATTGCGGGTGTGTGTATGTGTGTGTGTGTGTGTGTGTGTTTGTATGACTAAGATAGTAAATTTTGGCTTTTGAAAGAATCAGCAAATCATGTCCCTCCCACTGTGTTGGCAAAAGGATTGGATTGAAAGGGTGAAGGGTCTAGGAGAGATGATGCCTGGGAAGGGTGAGGTTAGGGAGCATTTACTGATTGGGGTTTGGGTTACAGGGACCCGGACCCAGATCCTTCTGTCACTGAGCCAACAAGAGGCCATTGAGAAACACCTGGATTTTGACAGCCGCTGTGCTCTGCTGGCACTGTTTGCACAGGCCACGCTTGCTGAGCATCCCATGTCTTTCGAGGGCATTCAGCTGCCACAGGTATCCTGTGGGGGTGCAGGGTGGGACAGCTAACAAAGTCTAAAGACCAGGTTTTTGTACCTGTTTACAGAGGACAGTGTGGAAGGAGGGGCTAAAGATGGGACAAGGCGGATGTAAGCCAAAGGTTGTATCCCGCAGGTCCCAGGAAGGCTGCTCTTCTCCCTAGTGAAGCACTATTTGTATATCACCTCACTCCTGGATCAGCTGAATGACAGTGCTACAGAACCAGGAGCCCAGAACAACTCTGCCCCTGAAGAGTTGAGTGGGGAGAGGGGTCGGCTGGAGCTGGAGTTCAGTATGGCCATGGGCACCCTGATCTCGGAGCTAGTGCAGGCCATGCGCTGGGACCGGGCCTCAAGCAGACCAGGAAGTTCAGCACAGCCATCCGGTTCCATCTTCCAGCCTCAGCTGGCGGATGCAGGCCCCGGGCTTCCACCCCCCGAGGCCCAGCCCTCCCTCAGGAGGTCAAGGCGGTTTCGCCCCCGCTCTGAGTTTGCAAGTGGCAATACCTATGCCTTGTATGTGCGGGACACGCTGCAGCCGGGGATGCGAGTGCGGATGCTGGCTGATTACGAGGAGATCAGTGCCGGGGATGAAGGCGAGTTCCGGCAGAGCAACAGTGGTGCGCCCCCTGCGCAGGTGAGCGGATCACAGCGGTGGGAGGCTGCTGGGCATCTGTTTTGAGTGGCCCATAGCTGGACTTCCATCCAGGGGGCTCTGGCAGGCCAGCCAAGGAGAAAACCCTTGGTAAGACTGGGGTGCTGAAAGGTAAGAAAGGGGCCATTTGGAGGGCTGAGAATATCTGGTTTAGGAAGCTGTGAAATCAAGAAGACTCACACTCAGGAAGAAACTGACATAGCAAGACTCCCTTCAAGGTCAAGGTCAGGAGATGGGGTGGTTGGAGCCAGGAGGAAGTGTAGGAGCACAAGCCATCAAGGCTTGGGTGAGAGGAGAGGGAGTCTCATCCCCAGGAGGGAAGGCATCCACTGTGTGTTTATGTGTTCTCCATATGCCAGGGTTTTGCTATTTGGTGGTCACCCCAAGGGCTGTAAGTCCTCATTAACTGGGCCACAGGCAGTCACTACTGACCTCTCTTTCCCTTCCCTCTTTTGTTCCCTGTCCTCCAGGTGTTGTGGGAGTCAACAGGTCGCACCTATTGGGTGCACTGGCACATGCTGGAGATCTTGGGCTTCGAGGAAGACATTGAGGAAGTGGCCGCAGCTGATGAGCAGCAGGGGGCAGTGGTCAATGGAGCCCTGGGTAGAGGTGAGCTCAGAGAGAAAGCAGGGATCAGCTCTGAGCAGGGGAGCCGTGGCCGGCTGGGTGGGCAGTGACATCCCTGTGCCCCACGGCCCATTTCCACAGCCCTACCCTCCTGGCGTTGGAAGCCAATGACAGAGCTGTATGCTGTACCTTATGTGCTGCCTGAGGATGAGGATACTGAGGAGAGTGAACACCTGACCCAGGCTGAGTGGTGGGAGCTCCTTTTCTTCATCAAGAAGTTGGATGGACCAAGCCATCAGGAGGTTCTCCAGATCTTCCAGGAGAACCTAGATGGGGAGGTAGAGCCAGCATGAAGACACTCAGAGGTTGGAGGGCTCCACTGCAAGGGCTGGACTGTGTAGAGCATTTGGAAGGCTCAGGATAAAAAGTGGAGGTCAGATAGCATAAGGGGCTATCTGGGGAGGGGAGAGGTCTGGAATGTTCGAAGGTGGGAGGTGTTGGTGAACTGTTTGGGGGAAGCCAGCTGCCAGCCATGAGAGGACGTATGTGCAGAGAGGTCCTCACCCCTACCAAGGGCCCCTGGAGCCTCGATGCTGGCAGGACTGACTGCAGTGAGAGTTTCTCCCTGACAGCACATCCTGGATGATGAGATCCTGGCTGAGCTGGCCGTGCCCATAGAGTTGGCCCAGGACCTGCTGCTGTCTCTACCACAGCGACTTGATGACAGCGCCCTCAGGGACTTGGTTAACTGCCATGTCTATAGGAAGTATGGGCCTGAAGCCTACCCATCCCTTCTAGAGGCCCAGCAAGATGTCCTCCTATTGGCAGCCCAGGCCCAGGCTCAGGAATCAAAAGATGTAGCCAGAGTGGAAGGTAAGTGCTAGACAGACACAGCAGCTGAGCAGACTTGCCTTTAGGGCCTCAGCACAGGACAGATGTCTGTGCTGATTTTTGTGAGTCCTATCTGGAAGATGTGACACCTTATGAAAAATCTGAAACTTAGGGATAAGTAACCAATGGAGAAGCAGATGTGTTTCCTTAAAGAATGAAGGAGGATGTAAAGTAAGAAAATTGCAAGAGATTTTTGAAACCTTAAGCCCGCACGTTTAACTTTTTCTGTTATAGAGAAAGAC